AAATGTTAAAACATACACGTAGTATTAAGTAGAAGAATACACCTCTGTTTCTACGATTTACCGTTGAGAGAGCACAAACACCAAACGTAAAGGAAAGCAATTGGGATTTAAGGCATTTTCAGGGTCTTGAAATTGGATTCTCAGGCGTTTGCTTCTAATATAATAAAAACACTGCGTAAAACTGTTTGTGTGAAACGCATTCTTATACAGAGAGCAAACAGGATGCATTTTCACTACGTGCATAATTTATCCACAGTTTCTGCCACCGTAGTTGTAGGATTTAACTTCTGACGTTCATCCTGAAATTAACTTTGTTGACAGGAGCAGCTGTGTTTTCATAAACAGGATCAAATTAGACTCAAGAAAATTCCAGCTAACTCTTGGTTCTGTAATAACCTGTCTATATTGTAGTGTGTGTGTCTGCTGGTTCCAGAAGAGGAAACGTCAGAGGCAGGTGTTTTTCAAACAGAATAAACTGTAACATTCAATTATAGAGGGCAACAGTGAGGGAGAACTGGGGGAGACGAGGAGCTGCTGTCTCTGTCACTGCGCTGATGGGAGCTCAGCAGACAGATTTGTTTTTCTCTCCGTGTGCTAATTCCACTTCACCACATTAACGTCAATTCTGCTCCTCATTTTTTCTGTCACTTATTTCTAGTTCCACATGCACAACCCTAATCATTTCACACTCCACTCCGTCACTCCTTTGGTTTGCCTCTGAAGAACATCTGAAGAAACCATCAGTACTGTCAATGATCAGTACCTGTCACACAGAAATAAACTCTGGTGTAAAATAAAACCTGCACCCATGTTTAAAGGCTCTGGTTATGCCCCCTGCTGTTGTCAAACTTATTTTTAAATGCAGCCGAGTTGAAGGCTTTTCAAGTCACAGCGTGGAGGTTCAGTGGATGAAGAGACGGTAAAAGTAGGCCACGGCTGGGGAGGGGGATATCCTGCATGATCAAAGGCTCCACTGACACTGGTTTGACTGTTTTATGGAACCAAAGCAAGACAGATGTGCTTAGAGACAAGGAGAAGGAAGAGGGTGCTTTGGAGAGTTTATCTTCACAGCAATTATACATGTACCTGGGACAAGAGGCAGGAAGAGAAAGCATATATGGCAGGGTTAGAGGAAATCCTCCGAGCTGATTAATGAAGAGCCACTGAGGTGAAATGAGCAGGGGATGAGGGAAGAGGCTCAGGCGGAATCCTGTCCTTTGATCATCACCAGCACTCCAGTCTGCAGGAAGCACCGTGACTCACACCTGTTTTAATAGCATTAAACACGAAATGGACTGATCTGCTAGGGCTTCTTGGCAAAACTACAGAAGTAAATTAGGTTTATTCTCCAAAATTTAAAAAAATGTATCCTTTGACAAAAAGCAAAGAAAAAAAATTATTTATATTCAAGAAACCACCATTATTGAACCATCTGCCAACTTGCAAACTTCATTAATTTAAATTAAGTTCTTTGTTAAAAAAACAGCATGTTTCAGTGCATGCAGTTTTGCCTTTTTGTGTTGACAGTATAGAAGAAAAGAGAGGGAGACAAGCAAAAGAGACAATCTGCTTCCAGACCCTGTAATCGCCCGGGGGGAAGGGGGGGGGGCATGAATGGGATTATGATGTGAGAGTTAATGGTATTATATATGCACAGATTCAGGGTATGGATCGCTGCGATAAGAGCTGCTGCTAAATGAAGAGACAAAACAAATTGCGCGTGGCCTTTTATCCGATTGTCTAACGCGACAGAGGGTTGTCTGTTCTGAGTCACGGAGCCGCTGACATTTCAGCACATGCTGTGAACCTCATCCTGGTTCATTTCAGGTACAGTGGTTTTCTGAAGTGTAGAGTCAACACATCCAGCCCCTTGATAAAAATCATCCACGGAAAAGATGCCGGAAAAAAACTGCATCTCAAAGCAGGTGCAGGTTTTCTAAATTCAGAACAAATCGACAAATTCTGTTTTGTATCAACGGCACTCAATAAAGCTAATTTACATGATATCATTTTGCACTCTCTCCTTTAGTATTGGATGCAATTGTTTCAATGGTCCATTATCAGAATTGTCTAAAAGAAATTGTATTAGTTTTTTTTGTTTGTTTGTTTTAATGGCTATGGTTTTTGTTTTTTTATTTGTGTTTCAACAATTCGATGTTTCATCTAAAATGTGCAAAATTAGTTTTCTCTTGAGGCTGGAGGTTTGAAATAGGGACATATTTATTTATTATCCTTCTGAGTGTAAGATGACAGTTGACAAATGAAAACCGGGGGTTTTCATATCTCCATCTTTCATCTGTCCTTCTTCATGTCGGATTCTTTTTCTGCCTTGTTGTTCCCTGATGTACTTGTGAAACAAAATGTGTCAGAAAAATAAAAATGACGGATTACTTTGGACCCTACAAAAGTTACTGTGGGTCAGAAAGGCAAGACAAAATGTTATAGTGAGGTGAGGTTAATGTTTAGGAGCAGGGGGAACGGGGGGGGGGCTGGGAGGTGGCCGTTCTCGGACTGGCAGCTGCTGCAAGTAAAAAAATACAATATCCTGCTGCCCTACTTCTAATCCTTTTGTACATTACTATACATGTTAAAAGTTAATGACATCTTGTCTTTGTAATCCAAAGTATTTTTGGAAAGTGGTGGATCACTAACTCCAGAAGGCCAAAAGGAATTTCAGTCAGTGTCCTGTCAAAAGCTGACATAAATCCTTTTTTGGAGCGAACTAAAGAAGAGGGTCAATGCCAAAAGAGCGTCAAATCTGGAGGAGCCAATGATGAATGGGAGATGGGAGGGTTTAAGAGAACTGAAAAAAAAAAAGAAAAAAAAAAGCAGTCTTTCTTTTACAGCAATTAGTGAACAAACTTGACTCTCACCATTTGGGCCTTTATTGGTGTTTTTGTGCTTTCAGTTTCACATTAGGGTTGGAATGATGATAGTCTTATTAAAACGCTGGTGTGTTCAGAAATATATATATAAATCCCTTTTTATATATAAGAGCACTTGTGGAAATCCAATAACATTTTCTAAGTGGGGCTAATGATGCCATCCCTGTAAATGGTCCATTGCACAGAGAAACTCATTAGAACAAACTAAAGTAAAGAAGGCTGTAAACTGGTTAAATAGGAACTGACACTGAGGTCAAAACAGCTGTGTGAAGTTTAATTGTATAGACACTGTGGTTCTAGAAACTGACCAGAAGTAGGAGAAACCACAGCGGTTACAGGTTTGCTAGTTTCAAGTCTTCTTAAATGAAACATGAGATCAGGTTTGGTTGTTATGATCCACCATGGAGGGAAGAGTCAATGAGAAAGGTGCATTGGGAGCCTGTATGTGACTAAAGGACAAAACAACCGATTTCTTCTTTTTCTTACATATTTGGCAATAATGTCACATCTTTGTGTTTACGCAGCCCAAACAGAAGAGTCCTCAAAGACCAAAACCTCACTCAGTACCTCCCGTCGCAGCTTTAATGTGCATATAAACAGGTGTTTCTTTACTTCGAGTTGTACTCGGGAGAGAAGTGCAGCTGAAAGGCTTTACATCCTCTTTACCCAGTGCAGCAAAAATGTATAGCCATTGTTTTGTGTTGTTTGTTTATATACAGTGTATTACTCTATATTGTAATGTTCTGACTCCAACACTATATCATCTCTGGACAAGCCCTTTTTGTATTCCGTCTGCAGAAACAGCCGACTAAACAGACTCCCTAATAGAGCATCGCTTCTGTCTAAGGCAACACTGTAGTTGGCAGTTTAATCTACTGTTAGGATAAAATATTACATCTACTGAAGGACAACACTACACAAGTCCCAAATGAAGAGTAGATGGACAACATTTTAGAGAAAAGAAAAGAAAAGGTGCAATACCTTTAAGAAAAAGAATAATTTCTCCCCAAAAAATCTTTGATATAGATTGTTAAAAAATGTATTTTTAATTTGTATTTGTTTTGTCTGGCTTGGTACAGTTACTTGTTAGTTTATTTGTGTGAGTGTGTGTGTGTTTGTTATTTTATTGGCTAAAGCCTTTCAATCTTCCGCAATGCTGAATAAAGCCCTCTACTGCCTCCCCATGGTAGGCAAGTGTAACTAGACGAATAATTTAATTTTATGACCTCAATTCATCAGTGAAGTTCTGAGAAGGTAAACGTCAGACTTGTGACTAAATGGGTAAAATGTGACCGGGCGCTGCCTGAACATATATGAGCCTTTGATAATAACGAGACAGTGAAGCACAGTTCCATCCTTATTGAATTATGTTATTGGTATCACAAGCTTGTCCTGCAGTTCCTTCAACACTATCAAACCAAAAATCTCATCTTTGGTTTTATATTGATGACATCGATTACTTGTTATTACTACTTATTTTTAAACAATAAACTAAAGAAAAAGTTGCACAAAATAAAACATAACATCTTGTTTGTTTGCACGAAATACAAAAAAAAAAACAATTATGGGGACTTGTTTGCACGAAATACCAAAAAAAAAACAATATTTACCTGAATTATTTGCCTGTTATGCATCAAAGCAGATGAGGAAACCAGTGCACTTCCTTTATACCGCTCCTACCACCAGACTATATAAACACCGTGTGTGAAAACTGTCAAAAT